TAAAGTAAACGAAGGAAAAGACGTCTGACATAGACAATGATTGATTTGATCAGATAAGAAATACCAATGATACTCGTATATCTACGAAATAAGATTGTTAAATTTGTTCTTAAACGAACAAAGTTCTTTCATTTAGATAGGTATTTTATAACATAGAGTAATATCAAAGTATATTCTCTGAACTAATGTCAGATGCTGCTCAAATGGTTTAATAATTAAGTATTGCATAAGTAATTAAATAAATTGTTTTGTGCTATTTAGTTATAAGGTACAATGGGACTGATATGTTAATAATAACGAAAGTCCCTTAAATAAATAAATAAAAAAGATAAGTATTTAATTATATAAATATACGCTATATCCACTGAGAAATTAAAAATATTTCGAAGAAATGGGAAATTGCCAGCAAATGCTGCAGCTTGGCGGCCTGTTGTTTTCTTTAAAACCTTGTGCCTAACAGTAAGATTATAAAAATGATGTTACTAAATTTTTATACTATATACACACACACATACATTATACAGTAATTTATTTTATTTGTAACCGACATATTGTACGGACTTTTGATGTTTCGTAATAATGGAAAAAGATAATATAAATCCTGAAGACGTCATTCGTGTGCAGTCGCCTCGCTTAGACTGGCAAAAAATGGCTCCAACTTCAATCGGGTCCGACAACCGACTAGTGTTAACAGAGCCGCCGACACCCGATTAAAGTATGGCGCCCAACGCCCGAAAAGTGGGAATTAGCTCTAAAGATTTATCACTAAACATGGTCCTGCGCCACCTGCATTACCGGTACGAGGTTGTCACTTGAGAACCTTTCTACCACATCGGTTGTCGATTATTTGAGCTATATGGCCAGCCCATTTCATTCCATTTTAGGTAACTGATTCGTAGAGCTATGTTGGTTGCTCTGGTAATACTGCGGATATCCTGATTTCAAAGTTTATCACGCAGAAAAGCTCCGAGCATGGCCCTCTCCATAGGTCGCTTAGCGACTTTAAACTTCCTCTTCCGACCAGCGGTGAAGAACCACGCCTCGGTTCTATAATATATCATCACGTATGTAACTTCATACTATCTCACACCTCTCTGCAGTTATATAGGTTTTATACTCTAGATCTGTACTCGGAGAACCATCGTAGATTTAATGTACTACTACTACTCCAGCACCTCGATATACTGACGGTCAATCTGGCTTCACTGAAGAGACTTTGTTATAGTTCATATTAAATCACCGGTTCACCGGCATTTACCACAGCTTTCTCGTCGATCAGGACCTTTATTTACCCAAGGGGACTTTAGGAAGGCCCGTGGTTTCCGAAAAATTTCAGTCTATCCATTTCTTATGTGCTATCCGTCTGCTTAGTGTAGCGATAATGGCAGAATCTCCGTTTAATGGGAGAAGCCAATATGCAACAGGAAACTTATTTATCATTACAACCTATCAAAAGTTCACTGCTGAACAATGAACATAGGCCTCCCCCATAGACTGCATAATAGGGGGGAGATATGACATAGTTAGCCACTTACCAGGTAGTTTGGCAACCGTAGTTCTTTTGTTATTTTGAATTGTTATAAGGAAGGTTTTGATGCCCATGTCCTGATCCATGCCCGTTTTCCTCTGTCACCTCTTACACCCGTGGAATTATATGAGCAAAATGGACTCTCCTACGTGGCTACTACAAGGACATGTGGACTGTGACGGCGTAAAGAACGAAAATGGAATATAATCTTCATCTACTTAAAACTGATACCTGTACCAATTTTAATTCAGATACTCATTTTGTATTGCATAGCACGCCTTTTCCCTAACCATTAACATTACAATATTTTTTTCTTAATAGCTCTGTTACTCGTAGATTATGATAATAACCTGAAATGAATAAAATATGATCAGTAACATAAGCTTTCTTAGTTTATGTATGATAAGTGGTAATAATAGAAGAAATAAACACTGATAATTGCCAGGCGTTCCAAGACTCAAGATTAAATTACAACTTTATTTTTCATCCATGATTTGTAACGAACACTCAAAATGCGTAAGACGCCATGGGATGGTGGCCTAAGAGCTTGAGTTACTATTGCCATACTGTAAATACCATAAGATAAGAGTAGCGTCCAAAATACTACGTTCGTTATTCGGTTGCAGAAGGTAGCAATACAGACATATCTTCTTACTATGGATGAATATATACAGAAGTACACTTCTAGACATAAAAACTGTTTACTGTTACAGAATGTATACAGAATGAGAAGGGAGAAGAGAAATAAAAAAAATTATAATACAGCGTGCATGCAAAATTGGAATTCATATGTAGAAATATATCACTATCAACAAGTATGTCTATTGCCCGGGAGGCATGATAATATCGATATATTCGCGTGATGAGCAAACCTGTTAAACGCAATTGGAATGTCGAACGATTAAAGAAAAAATAATTAAACATACAGGAGGCGCTACTTTTGATACTTATTGGTTTTATCAATAAAGTTATTTCTCCGAAAGGAAGTTTTTTAGACTTTTAATATTTTCAATTACTAGAATATGCATAAAAAATGTACGAGTATTAAAGAGCGTTTATAATTACACTAGGTATAAACAAAATGTCATTATGACTTTAAAATCTTTTTCGATCTTATTATTACTATACTAATTCCCACTGCATAGTATATATGCCTTTATTTTTACACATTCAGGCATTTCATAAAATGTTTGTTAATCTTAGTTGTTTAAACTTTATATGGAAATTATTTAGTACTTTAACGCTATGGGTGATAAAAACTAAATTCGTATCGATTTTTATGTTTTAAGTGATTTAAAATTAAAACTTAAGCCCTTGACACCATATAGTGTTACTAGATACTACTACCATTTTTCTAAGTGCGACGCTGCCTTACACTGCGATTTTTACTATTCTATTATAGCAAGCAGATCGACACGTCAACATCATCTAAATGTAAGCACAACTACTAATGGATATTACGCTCACATTGTGCCACGTCATTGCATTGTAGTATTTTTCGCTCACCTAAGACAGACTCAATTTAAATCACCCACTTAAATCTAAACCTTACCTACTCTATGTACCTCAATAGAACCACCATGATATTTATTTTTATTTTATATTAATTGAATATTCAATTTACAAAGATTAAGAATTGAAACATGCTGTGAAATAAATGCGTTTATTGAGATGTGTTTGATTGCGCATCTCAAGAGTGATACAAATAACGAGTGGCAATTAGTTAAAAACGTAACTCCCTTTCACTAAAGCAAGTAGCACGTGGGTCGGTAATGTTACGATCTATATAGAAGCCACATGCTATAAGATAGAAGCCATTAGAATTTTTCTTACGTTTCAGATAGTCGCCTCTTACGACACCCGTAGAAAAAAACTTGATGATGAATTCCCTTACGCTGCCAACACATATCAGTTTTTACTATATTCATTTCCATAGAGAAAATGTTTACTTACTAATCAAACATTCTTTTATTCTCATCTTAATTAAATCAATCGTATCAAATGTTTCATTCAACTTGCCTTTAAATAATTTAAAATTAAAAAAAAATATGGTTCATAGTTATTCGAAAAAACTATTATTTATAATTTTTCAATAAACAATAATTTATATTTAATATAAGAATAGAGAGAAGGTCAGTTTAGGACTGGTTCTTAGTCAAAGAGAAATCCGAAGTTAGTCACACCATCACGTGCTTGATCTTGAGTCTAGACAATTTCGTAAGCTGTTTATGTTAAATATCATCGCATCTTTTATGTTATAGCTGCAATCAAAACGCCCACTTTAAAATAGTTATGCTTCTAATACTTTCTTGAAATACTATGTTTCGTAATCATGATGATAATAGTGATGATAGTAGCCGATTTCTACCACGTCAAACCCACCCATCACACTTTCGAATAATCGGTTGATATCAACTGCGCAAGAGAGAAATTATAGCGCTACCTTATATAATCCTGTGGGTATCGTAAGGATCGATACAAGGAAACTGAAATAAGAGAGCAGCTTCCTATAATAATATAAAACTGTGGTTGCCAACTACTAAGAAAGGGCCTATGTTCTGGCGGTGGACTTTAGTGGGGTGTGGTGAATAAGTGAGTAAAGGGAAAAAGTGAAAATTAAATAATGTTAACATAAAACACTCACTCATCCTAACGAGTAGGTTGTCCGATGTGAAGTTTGCGTGGTAAGATCTAAGGTAGGCAATACTAGAATACAATGTCAGGGACACAAAATTAAAAACAAAGTTACAGTCCTACTGTTGAGCAAAGGCCTCTTCACATTTATGAAGGGTTATTTAGAAATTAATCCGCCGCGCTGCTAGAATGCGTGTTGGCAGACTTCACATATCATCGAAATATTATATTTCTTAAACATGCAGGTTTCCTCACGATGTTTTCCTTCACCATCAAGTACGTGGTAAACCCGGTTATTTAACCCAGGTTGCTAGCATACTATGAAATTTACAGCGAGCACTTAGCAATTCTGCTACCACGACAAAGCACAAAGACAATCAAATCAATATTGTATATTGATTGTCTTTGTGCTTATCCAAACTCAAGCACCAACAATTTATGATTTTTAACAATAGTTTGATCCTACTGAGAATTGAAGAAAAAACCCACGGTCTAGTACACCAGGCTAACTGAAGCACTAATACATTCGTTAGAAAATCAATAAAATAATACAAATGAACCCCAAACAGTGTTTTACATAAATAATACAATCTAAACATCTTACTTTTTGTAATAAGGACCTTAAGCAAACTACACACAAACACACAAATTAAAAAGATGTAATATAAATAATTTATTTTTTTAACAAAGTAAAACATAAAACGAACGCACAACATCAGTATTAATGTAAAAACATCTTAGTCTAATTTATTTTAATTTTAGTAATGTTTATAAATAGTTAACAATATAGTTAGTACATTAAAACAACGCATGATGAGATGAAAGTTATTTTTGAACTTCATTTGGTGTATGTTGAACTGCGACTAGTGTATGCGCCTTTATAACCAGAAATTGAGTCATTTTGAATTAATTCGCTATTCTGTGGCAAAATATCATTATCTTTTGGAGAACTTTGCAAAGAAGACCCTTGTAATTTATCATAGTCATTAGATGTCGAAGATTGGGAACTTTGAGAATAGGTATACTTAGGCTGAGTATTGGTTGAATAATAAAAACCCTGGCTTGGAGTTGAATGAAGGTGATTATTATACAATGGAGAACCAAATTGAGGAATAAGCATCGTAGGATAACCTAGATAGGGAGATACAAAGGATAAAGGTTGATAATTTGTGGCAAAATTAAAATTACCATGTGGCAAAACTGAATTTACCAGGGGATTTCCGTGAGAAGTTATATGAGCGGGTTGAGAATAGACTGCATGTGGAAAACTTAAATGAGATGTTGAAAGTCCTGATGATGGTTGTAGAAAAGCAAGTTGAATATTACTATTTGATGACTTAGAAGGTAAAGTTTGATACTTGGTTTGGTAGCCAGAGCTTGGTACAAAATTAAATTGAGATGAACTTTGTTGTGAAGGCACGTTGAACTGAATTTGGTGAGAATTAGTAGATGTGCCATCATTTGTCGGGCTAGAGGAAGAATAGTACTGGCTTGCTTGACTTGGATAGAATGAATTAGGGATTTGGTTTTGGTAATTTTGATTAGATGTACTACTCTGTCCATTAGAGTTTTGAGAGTAATCGTTGTACGAATATTCAGGTTTCTGGATTCCCGTTGGAATAGTATTCACACCAGTAGCTTTGCTAACGCCTCTTTTCGTGATTTCATCAGTCCCACTGCACTGCACTAGCGTAGCAAAAGTAACGAACACCTGTAATAAATTTTAAAATTTACCTGTTGTTATAAATAAAAAAAAACAATCGCATTTTAATTAATTACGGCAAGGGATTTTATGCTAATATTTAGCTTATTAAAAGTTTACTATCCGCGAAAAATACACAATAGTTAAACAATCAGAAATGGTTAATACCGTTTATTTGTATCTTCACTATTTGACGAAAAATTGTAAGGTGTAAGTTAATAAATATATAATTATTTATTTATTGTCAAAAGATACACTTACCAAAATTTCTCTCGTGGCAATCATTATAATTTTCATTTATTGTTTTCCAGTAACTAAATTATCATTGTATATTTAAGAAAAATTGCAAATTGCGAAAGGAAAAGTGATCCAGTCAACGGTGCGAAGAAAAGTGTTAGACATTAACAAGTTCATGCATTTATATGAATGGCCACGGGCAACTTTCCCATCAACTCCAGAGCGTGACCACTAAAGGAAATGACCGATAGGTCTTTGTCCTGTAGCGTAACAGATCCAGTTCGAGAGAGTGCCGACTTCCTGAACTGGCGCGGAAACGCGTTGCATGCGTTCATCGATTCCCCGTGTCCGTTTCCCCGATACTTCTATTTGAAAGGTTTATTGTAAATCTGATTGTTCGAAAAAGTTAGGAGATGATCTTGTTCATTTTTAATTGTAGAAATGGAATTAGAACATCGACATTTTTAATAATAAGTAATCTCATTTTCATAATAAATTATAACTGGCTATAGTCTTATGCAAAAATAATAATTTTACAAAACTGTCTGTAGGCCTGTCGTATGCTTTATAATTTTTTGACAACGTAATAGACAGATATGCAGTAACATAATAATTTTGAAGGCAAAATACGTACCTGCCGTTTTTTGTTATTACAAACGTCGTCAAATTGTTATATTAGCATGATATTGGAAATGAATTAGAAACACTTTTGACATGGTTGGATAGATCCATGAGTTAAGGCAACCGCCTAAGAGCCAATTCAATCACCAGGTATAATTATTTTATTTGTTTCTTTTTTAATTGAATCCCAGGCAGCCAAGCCACAAGGCGAAGGCGAAAAAGGGCAAGGCGGCAGCACAGGTGATGGCTGCGCCAGCCCCAGTGCCTGCGGCGAATGGGCCAGCGCCAGCGGCAAGCCAGCTGCCGCCGCCGCCACCGCCCCCCCAGCTCCCTACACCTCCCGCGGCAGAAGCCGGTTGGCAGATGGTCGGGGAGAAACAGAAGGGGAAGAAGGCAGCCAAAAAGGCCAAAGAGCAGGAGCGGCAGCGTCAGTTCAGGGCGCGCAAGATCGCGGCTAGGCTCCGAGCCCCGAAGACCGCAGCTGTAGTGATTACACTACAGCCGGACGCGGAAAAGAAGGGCGTTACCTACCGCGATCTGCTCGCGAAGGCGAAAGAGGCGGTGGATCTCGGGGAGCTCGGGATCACTGGGGGCCTCCGGCTCAAAGTCACCCAGACGGGGGCCCGTATGCTGGAGATCCCCGGGGAATCCAGTGGCGCGACTGCGGACGCTCTGGCTGCGAAGCTCAGAGCGTCCCTGAACGCGGACGAGGCCCGAGTGTCCAGGCCCGTCAGATGCGCAGACCTGCGCATCATGGGTCTGGACGACTCGGTATCGGAGGAGGAGTTGGTGGCCGCCGTCGCCAGGTCCGGGGGATGCACTATTGACCAGGTCAGGTCAGGCGCCATACGCCCGGACCAACAGGGTATGCATGCCGCCACGGTGTGCTGCCCTGTTACGGCGGCCAAAACCATAGTGAAGGGCCGAAGGCTTCTGGTGGGCTGGGTCTCAGCGCAGGTTAAGCTGCTGGAGCCCAGACCTCTGAGGTGCTACCGCTGTCTCGTGGGGCATCACGTATCAGCGAAATGCGCCTCGGAGGTTAACCGCAGTGGCCTCTGCTTCCGCTGCTGTCAGCCCGGACACATATCGGCGACCTGCTGCGCCACGCCGCACTGTGATGCATGTGCGGCGACCGGCAAGCCAGCCGATCACTGGGCCGGAAGCAGGGCCTGCGTGTCACCCGCCAAGGCCAAAGCCGCGGGTAGGGGAGGGCCCTCCTCCGCCGCCACCGCCTCTATGGCCACCGCCGCAGCTGCAACTGCCGCCGCCGCCGCTGTCACTGTCGCCGCCGCCGCCGCCGCGACACCGACGCCTGCAGAGAGGCGCCCCGTGGAGGAAGCTGAAATGGAATGCCTATAACGGCCCCATTAAGCTTCCTCCAGGCGAATATCAACCACTGCGCCTGCGCTCAGGATCTGTTGCTCCAGAGCATGGCGCAGTGGTCGATTAACATCGCTGTGGTCGCTGAGCCGTATTCTGTCTGGCCTAGGAAGGACTGGGTGGCGGACCTCAACGGCTCAGTGGCCATCATTTCTTCGGCCGCCGCCGGTACCCCGACCTTTGAAGGTGTCAGGAGGGGTCAGGGGTGCGTAGCAGCACGGTTCGGGGAGTTCGTCGTTGTTGGGGTGTACTTCTCCCCGAACCGATCTCTCGCCGAGCTCCACAACTCTCTTGCAGAGCTGAGAGCAGTCGTCGTCGGAAGCTATCCCCTCCCCGTGCTTGTCCTCGGGGACTTCAATGCCAAGAACTTGGCTTGGGGTTCTCGTCGTACAGATGTGCGGGGTAGGATGGTGGAAGACTGGGCTCTGGAGACAGGCCTGGTCGTCCTAAATCGGGGTTCTGTCCCCACGTGTGTGCGGATGCGGGGCGAGTCGGTGGTGGACATTTCGTTCGCTAGCCCCGCTCTGTCGCCGCGTGCCACTGACTGGCGAGTCATGGAGGGGGTGGAGACCTACTCCGACCACCGGTACATCCGGTTTGACGTCTCCACCCAGCCCTCGAGCGCGCCAGTCCAACAGGCCCCGAGTGGTCCGCGTTGGGCGCTGAAGCAGCTGGACCGGGAGCTCCTCCTGGAAGCCTCGATCGTGCAGGCCTGGGTGTCATCACCGGATAGGCCTGCCGACGTCAATGATGAGGCAGGGTGGTTCCAGGAGGCCATGTCCGATATATGTGACGTGGCAATGCCCCGCGTCCGACCAGGAAGCGCCCGGCGTCAGATGTATTGGTGGTCGCGTGAGCTGACGTCTCTGCGCGAGGCGTGTGTCGCCGCGCGGCACCTGTACGCCAGGCATCGCAGGCTCCGCATTCGTCCACCGAATGCGGTAGCCATTGAGGCGGAGCTGTACGAGGGATACAGAGCGGCGAAGACCGCCCTCCGGGAGGCTATCATGCGGGCCCGGGATCGGGCCCGTGAGGAGATGCTGGAGACTCTCGACAGAGATCCGTGGGGGCGCCCTTACAAGATGGTGCGGGATAAACTCCGCACCTGGGCCCCCCCGCTGACGCAGAGTCTCCGGCCTCAGCTCGTGGAGGACGTGGTGAGCGCTCTGTTTCCTGCGCGAGGGGAACATCCGCCCCCGCCTATGGCTCCGCCACCTGCGGTGCCGGAAGCGGACCACCAGGACGACGACGACGGCATCCCGGAAGGGACCGGGGTAGACCTGAGAGTGGCGGTACGTAGGCTCAAGGCCAGGAATACCGCCCCAGCACCCGATGGCTTGCCTGGCAAAGCCTGGGTCCTGGTCTCGGAGGCTCTCGGGCCCCGACTGGAGAGGCTCCTAAGCGCATGCTTGGAGAGAGGCCAATTCCCGCTTCGTTGGAAGACGGGGAAGCTGGTCCTCATTCGGAAGCCGGAGCGCCCTGCGGACTCTCCGTCCGCATACCGGCCCGTGGTGCTGCTCGACGAGGTGGGCAAGCTCTTTGAAAGAGTCATTGCAAACCGCCTCGCCGAGCACCTTGCGGGGACGGGGCCGGATCTTGCTGAACACCAGTTTGGTTTCCGCAAGAGGCGCTCTACGGTGGACGCCATCATGCGCGTGAGAGCCCTCACGCGGGGGATGCAGTGGCCAGGGGGGGGGGTTGTTTTGGCGGTGTCTCTCGACATCGCCAACGCCTTCAACTCCATGCCCTGGAGCTGCATTAGGGAGGCACTCCGGTATCACCGGGTGCCGACCTATCTCCGTCGTATAGTCGGGGACTATCTGACGGATAGGGCCGTCATCTACCCCGGTCGCAACGGTGAGTGGAACCGGCGAGAGATGTCGTGCGGTGTCCCACAGGGTTCGGTTCTGGGGCCGCCCCTGTGGAACATCGGTTACGACTGGGTGCTGCGCGCCGACCTCCCTACCGGCGTCAGCGTAGTTTGCTACGCTGACGACACGCTGGTACTGGCACAGGGGGGGGTCGTACGAGGCGGCGGCGGAAACTATGACACGCGGAGTTGCGATAGTCGTTGAGAGGATCCGGCAGCTGGGTCTTGAGGTGGCTCTGCACAAGTCCGAGTCCATGCACTTCCATGGTCCTCGGAACAGGCCACCACCGGGATCCTCAGCGATGGTAGGAGGGGTATCCATCGGCGTCGAGTCGACGTTGAAGTACCTAGGACTCGTCCTCGACGGCCGATGGAACTTCGTTGAGCACTTCCGACGTTTGGCTCCCAAACTGGAACGGACCGGGGCTGCCTTCAGGCGGCTCCTGCCGAACCTGGGGGGGCCAAACGCCTCCTGCCGGAGGCTCTACGCGGGGATTGTGCGGTCCATGGCCCTCTACGGGGCCCCGGTGTGGGCGCGTGGTTTGGCGCGGCTTGCCGTCCACCACCTGAACGCGCCCCAAAAGGTGGTTGCCGTGAGAATGGTTCGCGGCTACCGCACGATCTCCCGCGAGGCAGCGTGCCTCCTTGCCGGATTGCCGCCGTGGGATCTGGAGGCGATAGTCCTCGCGCGCCTGCACGAATGGCGCGCGGAGGCACTATGCCGGGGGGAAACCCCGCTGCCGCGGCAAGTTGTCGTGCAGCGGACAGACTTCCGGCATGATCTCATGGCGACATGGAGAGAGCGACTGTCGCAACCCCGTGCTGGGCACGCCACTATAGCGGCGATAAGGCCCCTCTTTGAGGAGTGGCTTGAGAGACGCCACGGCGTCCTCACCTTCTGCCTGACGCAGGTCCTCACCGGACACGGTGTGTTCGGGAGGTTCCTGCACCGAATCGGGCGGGAGGAAACGCCCGGGTGCTCCCACTGCGAGGATCGACCGGAGGACACGGTGGAGCACACCGTGGAGGTGTGCCCTGCCTGGGCGGAGCACCGCCGTGTCCTCGTAGCGGCGATAGGCGGCGGCGACCTCTCGCGTCCGGCCCTGGTCGAAGCCATGGTCCGGAGCGAGACGGAATGGGATGCCGTCACCACCTTCTGCGAAGCAGTGATGCTAGCGAAGGAGGTGGCGGAGCGGGAGAAGGAGAGAGCAGCAGCTTTCCTTCCCGGCCGCCGCGGGAGACGCCCCGGGCGTCGGGGGCTACGTCGTGGCCCCCGGCCCCCGTAGGCGCGGGCCTGTGGACGGCGAGCAATGGGTAGCTCGCCGTCCGTCCGTCTAACGAAGACAGGCCGTGTCGACGGCGCGTTTTGTTCCACGCGCGCCTCAAAGAGCTGTCAGCAGCGTGAAGGGGCCCGCAAGGGCCGACGCCTGCCGGGGCTGCGGGCTGTTCGAAAGAGATACCGCG